GCATAACACTCTTCCCTTTTTTATTATTATGCACATTAGAGTATTTACTGGAGTACTAGTTCTCATCTAAATGATGGGGTCTTCTCTAGGGCAGATAGCAGGACATCAAAGTTCTATTTCTCAGAGATGCCAGATATAATTTTGATCAAAGGTGGAGCTTCTGTTAAAATTTTAGTGTCAAGGAAAACATGAAAAGCTTCCTAAAAAAATTTTTTTTGACATTTTTCCATACCAGAGTAATAGCCAGTTTTGCCATACATTTGAGTACCTTTTGAATTACAAAAAGAAAACATTATGATTCCCTGACGTGTTAACTCTTCTTTCTCTTATACTTTTTTCCTCCTAATCTTGCCCCTTTGTAACATTTCTAGTCTTTACCAATTCTTAAATGTGTACTTGCAAACTCTCCATTAATATTAGTGGCTGGTCTCAAGTAGTAGGATTTAACTTAATGCTAATTTTAAAAGGACCTGTGTGGACTTTCTTTTCCTTTTAATGGACCTTTCTTGCGTGCATATTGGACATTTTCTGCTTTTCTTTAGAAAACTTAGTCTAGCTAGATTTTGCAACTTTTTGCATACTTTGAGAATAAGGTACAAGACGACATAAAGAAGCTGGGATAGTAGAAGGGATATTTACACAGAGGGAAATAGTGCAATTTCACTTTTCTGTGGTGAGGAAGTAACTGTCAATCTCATTGTGCTTGATTTCATTGATTTCCTGTTTTATGAGTTTACAAAAGGCTGACACTTTTCTCCTGGACAAGAAGCAAGTCATGGTCATGTGAATAGAATACAACAATATCAGGAAAGAAAAAAGGGGCCAGCAGGTGGCATGATGGTTAAGGGTGCTGGACTTCCACACAGCTGACCACGGTTCAATTCCCAGACCTGACAGCTTGCTATCTCATTTTCCCTCTCTCTCTCTGGCTCTCTTTCTCAGGTCAAATTAAAATAAATAAATAAAGTTAAATAAAACATAATTCTTAAAAAAAAAAAAAAAAAAGAAAAGAAAACGACAGCCATTTGTTTTAATAATCAACTTTTCTTTTTCCTGGGCTTTTAGAGACCTGTCAAAGTTAAGACTTTGATCTCTGAACCTAAATTTAAAATTCTGTTATTAACATTTTATAGAAACTATACTGTTATGAATTTTCCAGTGCAAATTCTGGGGATCATAATCCCTTTAGCACACCATCATTTTTAAAAACTGATCAATGAAAATAGATTCTAATGGGCAAAACATGTAAGACTAAAAAACAGAATCATTAGCTAGGTTGGGAAGAACTGTGTGATATTCTGCATCTGAATCTGGAATTAACATTCAGTACCTTATTTGTCTACCAGCACGAAATAGGGTTTTAATAGAGAGATTCAAACTAACAGGACTAGATGTTTTATTGATATATTTCATAGAAGAGTAGATACAACCTTTTTAAAGAAAATTATTTACTTAATTTTATTTATTATTATTTTAAAATTTGCTACAGAACACATGTGTTCACCAGAGAGAAAGAGACAGAGACAGAGAGAAAACAAGCCTTCAGGTCTAGGACTCAAACCTCAGTCAGTGATGTGAGTGTCCAGTGCCATAACTACCACACCACCTGCCAGCCCCAAGCAAAACCTTTAAATAACACAAATAAGAAAAGTTGAACTCCAGTTTCAGCTCTGCCACAAGCTCAATAGGTGACTTAAAGCAAGTAATCATCCTCTCTTGGGTCTGTTTTTGGAGAGATTTTTACTATAGGGTGCATGAGCTCACCAAAAAAAGAGAAACAGAGAAACAGAAAGTGAGAAATCATCTCCCAGAGGGGATGGCCATGCCACAATCCTTCTCCTCCATTCTCCTCTTGGGATTGTGGGGACACATGAACATGCTCCCGGCGTGAATTTAAGCCACTGGGTCTAGGACTTGAACCGTGGTCATATACATGGGAGCTCAATAACATAGCCATTACTTCAACTGCTGGTCCCATGAAATAAGAGCATTATAACTTCATTTTTTTTTAATGTTTATATAATAGAACTGGATAGAAAAGTGTCTTAGCTACCACAAGAAAACTATCTTGAGTAACAGGTTAAAATTTTACCCACCAGTTTGTTTAGAAAAATTACTGTTTAACCATTCTTAGGGAGAAAATTTTTTTTTCCCTTAAAATAGTATTCTCTGTAATATAACAAACATTCTTCAGGACCAGCATTATCTATTGAAGATAACAGCTCATTTGCCTCTGACAACCCTCTTTAACAATGCCTTATCATTTAAATCCATCACCTGCTGTAAATGCTCAAAATAAACACTGACTTCGTATATGTAGGGTGCTTATAAATAATATGATGCTATAGATTAAATCAAGGCAGCCTATGCCTTGTCCACCTTGTCCTGTCACTTTGGTTTAAGTGCCTATATACTATCACGACCACCCAATCAGCATTCCCAAGTCATTAATTATAGACCTTCCACTTTTAAACCATTATTTAAAAAGTAAGTTAAGTCCCCAATGTATGTATGTATGCACCTTTGTATGTATGTATGTATGTACCTCTGTATGTTTGCATGTATATATAGAGCAGAGGTGTTTCAGTATTACTTACGTAAATCACAGCCTTCCCTTGAATAAAACAGGAGACCCAAGATTAAAATCTGATGAAAGATCCTATTGCTTCTCTGTTGGGGAGCACATAAAGAGAACTGCCTCTGGCCACAAAGTGAATTTTTAGTATAATCCTATGAAAAATGGATAGTTTCTTAAAAAAAATTTAGAACTAAAATAACAAACAAAAGAACAGAGAAATGCAAAAGTAGGAAGAGTTACAGGGATAATAATTTTGTCCAGAGGTTCTTAAATAAGTGCCCTTGCTTTTGGAGGTTGTTCAGGGATCTCTCAAAATTATATGTGATGTGATCTATGTGATAATGTGCATTTTAAAATAAGGTTCTCAAAAATAGACCATCAAAAAAAGATGAAGGATTACTGAGCTGATACCAAAGAGAAATCTTTTACTTTTTTGGGGGTAAGATTTCTACTATTGGTCATGTGTGCTTGCCAGAGAGACAGAGAGAGATGGAGAGGCAGAAAGTAAGAAACCACCACCCGGAGGGATGACCACAACACAATCCCTCCTCCTCTCAGGATTTTGAGTACTCATACATGTGCCTGGCATGAGTTTCAAGCTACTGGGTCCAGGATTCGAACCATGGTCAACCATGTGGGAGTTCAACACTGTAACCACTATGCCACCTGCTAAACACCCTCACATTCAATGAGCAATCTTAATCTAAGCATGAGAAGTAATTTGCTATAGTCATTCCATTAGCCTGTGACACTGATAGCCCAGAACCTAAATTCCTAAGTATGTTCATGCTAGCGTGGATTCAAATGCTAATTTCTGATCAATAAATTATGCTCCCTCTTTTTTTTTTTTTTTACCATAGGGTTTGTGCACCCACTAGAGAGAGAAAGAGAGGGAAAATGAGAACTCACCTTCCCAGAGGAGATGGCCATGCCACAATCTCTTCTCTATTCTCCTCTTGGGATTTTGGGCATGCATGCACACATGCCCGATGTGATTTTCAAGCCTCATGTCTGGGACTCAAACTGTGGTTGCTCATGTGGGAGTCCAGCATCTTAACCACCATGCCACATGCTGGCCCTTAAATTATGTTCTTAAACTCGATCATCCTGTGGAAAAACACTGTTTTTGTTGTTGTTATTGTGGGAAAGTAAGGTTAACAGAATTTCAAGGACACAATTCAATTTTAACATTTATTGCCACTAATATTAGTGATTTAAGACTTGCATTACAAGAATTATCCCCAGAGACAGAATCCCTCAAAACAAAACAAAGCTCTCTTACACCTGCATGGGGAAGCCCTGATTGTATCCCTGTGTACAGAAGTAAAAGCTACCTATGTTTAGTGCTTCATATGTGGACACTCACTGAAATTGAAAATGGGCAAGGAGGCTCATCTAGAGTAGCGGAGCAAACCTGCTCTGGAATAACATTCTACTTCTGAACCATTTTCTACTCATTTTTATTGAAATGAGGTGCTTTAGTATAATTACATAAATAATGATCAGTACAGTGTCAATCCTGCACATCACACCTGGTCTTACTGTTTTCTTTGACTAGGTCTTTCTGTTACATATGTTCATGCTTTTTTTTTTTTTTTTCAATTTGGAGTGTTGCCAAGATGTACTAGTGATTAAATATATCTTGGGCATTAAAGCTGCAGGAACATTGCACATTTCCTATCCCTTAAAAAAACAAACAAACAAACCAAACAATCTAACCTTCTTTCCAGAACGGAAAGAATTCTAATGAGAAAAAAAAGAAATGTCTACGAGTAAATGTATCTATGGTCATCACAAGCTGATGGGTTGGTATGCTTGACTACTACTGGTGTAGCCGAGTAAAACCGCATCTATTGCATTATGTTATCTGCAAAATTTTAATGAATGCAAAACAAGTTACACTGCTGATTTCAGCAATGAGTTAGTTATACTTGATACGATTGATAGATATCTACTAAATTGTAGAAATGCCTAAATTCTTAAAGTAGTAAACTGTATTTTCTCTGAGTTAAGAATGTAAGAGCCAGGGGACATAAACTTACAGGATCACACAGCACAGTCCCCACAGTCGCTTTAAATCCAACAACTCCTAAAGGAAATGCAAGATACCAAACAGTGCAACAATATTCTTGATTCTCAACTTAATTTTGAATAACTAATGACGTATTCCTTCTTGTGTACAAAGTAACATACAAGGTTCCTGTTTAGGATTGTGACTATACATTCAATAGTGTATTCCATAATTAACCACTGTATGAAAGAGGAGAGAGATCTTGTATCTCAGTGCCTAATGATGGGCATGATGGCCTTTGCTCTCAAACTGAAAATTAAACAGAGCACATGAATAGGCAAAAAAAAAAAAAAAAAAAAAAAAAAATCAAGAAAAACTGCCTGGAGGGAAAGGGGAAAAAGTAACAGAGGCCAAAATGCTGAAAAAGGAAAAAAGAGTTATTAACATGCACATCCTTTATAATTTATAATAATGATATTCTAATTGCTATGAAATAGTAATAGATTAAATACATTGCAGATGAAAGGACTTATTAAACCATTGTGTCTGATGTATACTAAAAGAGGCAGGTTTCCCCAGGCAGTGGTAAAGGAAAAAGAAAAATATAACAGTAGAGACTATATTAACATCTGCCAAAGGTCCAATCAGCACATAGTCTACACACATTAAGTAGAGGTATTAGTATCAGTAGTGAAGATCAGATATTGACGCTAAGTACCCGTATAAATACAGACTCCTGTATTGTATTTTTAAACATCTAATATTTTTGCCTGACTTTTCCAAATTAAAGCCACTCCGTTTATACATATGTAAAGAAATGTCATCTGAGTTTCAATTAATTTTTAATTTTGTTCAATCTTGCATTTGTTCAACCAAAAATAATTTAAAGGGGACCAGGGCAATAAGCCTCACCGTAAGTGACTTCAAGGCCTCCCTAGGAAGTTCTTGACTCTGCTATAAAAATCAACAGTGTGCATCTAACAGGTTTCTTTCAATTTGAGCATTGAAAAGTGAATCATCAGATCAAATATCCTTCAGGGCTTCTTTGGTTTCCAGATTAAACATGTAATGTGACCTCTTGTCTTGTCACATTCTCCGTATTTCCATTTTAAATAATCATAAATAAAAAACCTTGCTACTCTTTGGTACAACACAGCTGTTTGATTCAGCTGAGCGTCAAGGTCTTTGAAATTGCACTTATTCCTTATGCTGAGAGATATTTTAGAATCCTGGTTCATCTGAAAGGTTTTCAGCTGAAAGATTCTTTATTGTATTCAAATCTGGTCCCATAGGAGTTGTTTTGGTTACTCAGTTTATGAAGAGTCTTGGAAATTGAATTGGGTCCACAGCAGAAAACACCAACTGTTTTCCTGGAAAGAGAAGGGGAGAAAAATAAGAAATCAGGTGGAAAATCAGAATATGCTAAGAATCATGCTTTAGGAGTATGGATAATGGTTTTAACAAAGTGAATTTCCTGCTGCTTTGTACATTGAAAACAATTTCCCAATTATTTGTGAGTGTAATTAGTTTGTCGCCAGGAAAAGATTTTGTTTACTCTCATGCTAGAACTCAGAATAATGCAAAGAATGTACCTACGAGCACAAATTTGTTTATTACCAGAAAGAGACTGGCTGCCCACCTTAGTCTCTTCAGTAAATGCTATTTGGGGCCCAGGCCAGAAACCATAGAGGTCAATTGGTAAACTGACATTAGACAGATGTACAGCCCACAGAGGACCATGTCAATTTGCCCTGTTATTAGACGTCTTACACACATTTTTCTAAAGCTTCCACAAGGATTTGCATAAGTCATGATGAATAAGGAAAGAGAGAGAAAAGACATTACTGATTTGAAAGGATCATTTTAAGTGAGTAATTTATACCCACATTGAAACAAGAAGCATATTAATCTGGATGTATTTTCTTTTTTATATTTATGCACGGTAATAATTGTAACAAAGTCAACCAGGTTTTATTATTCTATAACAAAAATTATAGTAGTTAAATAATACATATCACTAACAAACAGACTAATTAAATTCCAGGAAATGAATAGTATCTCAAATTGTTCTTCTTCCAAAATTTGTTGATTTGCATTACATCTTTCCTAGGATATCAAAATGATTAACATTTCATATCATATATTGGACAAATACAGTACATCCTCATTATCTCAGAATAATTGGTACTGAAAAACAAGATAGTGAATCTATTTAAATGTGCACCAAAGGTTTATAGCAAGATTAAAAATTTTTTTCATTAAAAATTTTCAATTAAAAAAACTTTTCAATTTAAAAAATGAAACAAAGAATGATAAAAATAGAATGATTGCTTGTAGGTATGATGGAGTACTGGGGACTAGATTTACTTTTATACATAACAAAATTACAACAAAATTAACAAAATATATGAAACCAGTATTTTTAGACTCTGGACAATAGGCAGTACACAATTGTGCTCCCTGACCAAAAAAAGAAAAAAAAAAATTGAAGTCATCAGTTATCTCTGCTTTCGCCTGAAAGCCATCTACCGGTAGAAGCCTAGAGAGGAGAGACTTAGGCAGTGCTTAGTGATCTCATTGAGTTGAAGAGATGGAGAGTGGAGTTCACAGAGAAGGCCAAAACAGCTGAAAGTAAACTTGGAAGGAAAGGGAGTTCCACAGAAAGAAGCTCCAGGGATCTGTAAAAGAGGACCCTCAAGTCTTTAGCTGATTAATGATTTTTTTATGCAGGAGAGGTTACTACACAAATGTTTGTAAAGAACTATCAGAGATTAAGGGTCAAACAAGTCTCAGAGTTTAACGATTTGTATTCACATGAGCCAGAATGGAAAGACCAGCAATGGGTGGATGATTGGGCGGCATTCTTAGGAAGGCAAACCATGTTGGCAAGGGGAAGAGGGAATATTGGTCAAATTAGTTTTAGCGTGAAGTCTGCTCTGGACCTGCACTAATACTGAAAAGTAAGCCCAAGACTATTGAAAAGAATAAATCAAAAATTATCATTTAAAATATATAGCATTCCATTTAAAATGACCAAGAATGCAAAGAGAAAAAAATCATGAACCGTAGCCACTGTACAGCCAAATGGTGTCCTTCCAAAATTTGTATGTTGAAGCGCCAAGCCCCAGGGCCTCCGAATGGGACTGCATATAGAACTAGGGTCTAGAAAGTGTTAATTAGGTTAAAATGAGGCTGTTAAGGTAGGCCCCAATTTAACATTATTGTGGTCCTCATAAGAAATAGAAATCTGAACACAAAGAGACATGGGATATGCACATGGACAGAGAAAAGTTTATGTAAAGAAGTTGCGACAGGTAAGCCATATGTATGCCAAGAAGGGAAGTCTCAGAGGTAACCTACCCTGCTGGAACTTTGATCTTGAACTTCCAGCCTCCAGTATTATGAGAAAATAAAATTGTGTATTTCAGTTAACTCAGACTGTAGTATTTTGTTATGTTAGTTCCAGAAAATGAATATAAGGAAAATGATCATTCAGTAGAAACAGACCCAGAATAACAAAGACAATGGAATTATCACACATGGTCATTGAAAGTAACGATATGTATGTTTCATATGTTCAAAAAAAACCCCATCAATATGATGAATAATGGAAGTTATTTTCAAGGCCCAAATTCTAGCATTACAATGTAATGTTTGAAATGATAAATACATTGTATGGGGTAACAGAAGACTAAACATTGCAAAAGAAAATGAAATCTGAAGATATTCATCATAATCTATCATATTGTAGCCCACAGGCAACAATAATAGAAAAGAACAACAACAAACAAAAGAACAGAGCACCAGTGACCTCTGGGACAATATGATATACTGCTAAATGCTAACAAGTCTAAAATACATGTTATTGGAGTTCAAGCAAGAGAGAAGACAGAAGATAAAAATTATTTCAAGAAATAATCACCATTTTCCCCAAATATGGTTAAAAACAAATCCACAGATCAAAGATTTCATGAACCTCAAGAAGAATCAACACAAGAAAACCATTCTGAGACAACTTAAAATAAAATGCTAAAAAACACTGACAAAGGAATAAGAAAACCATAAAATCAGACAGAAGGGGGAAAAAGACACAATGCAAATCATAAACAATATGAAAGATAAGAATAACAACATATTCTTGTCACGAACAATATAAGTCAGAAGGAAATGATGTCTTTTAAGTGCTGAAAGATAATACAAAATGCAAATTATTCGATGTTGAACAAATTTTCTATCAAACAAAAATATCTTTCAAAACAAAAGATCAAAACTTCAGATAAACAAAAGCTGAAAAACTTTACTGCCAACAAAGCAGCAATGGGAGGCATAGTAAAGAAAATTCTTCAAGAAGAAGGAAAATCAAATCAGATGGAAATTTGAAGCTATCCAAAGGAAAAGAATGATAACATGGTAAATTTGTGAGTAAATATCAAGCACTTTTTTCTCATTTCTACTCTCTTTTATGTTTAAAACAAAAGATGGCACATGTAGAAATAAGATGAATGGCAATAGCAACAATAGGAATGGGGGAATGGAAATCCAAGAAATGGTATGATATTATTTATGTATTTTTTAATTGCCAAAGGGTACCTATACTCACCTGAAGGAAAGAGAGAGTGAGAGGCAGAATTTCCCATCAGAGCATGGTCACACTGAAATTCCTTTTCCTCCATTTCTCCATCCCATCAAGATTTGCGGCATGCATGTGCAAGTACTCAGCATGTTTTCTAAGCCTCCATAGCCGGGATTTGAACTGCACTTGGACATGTGAGATTCTATTCTCTATGCATGGCCTTAATTGCTATGCTATGGGGCTGGCCCAATATAATATTAAATTAAGTAGATTGTAATAAGCTACTGGTGTGCACTGTAACCTAAAACATTCTTCAATCATGTCTTCACTAGAATCATTTTATGGACTTCACAGAACACAAATAGCTAAGCCTCATACCTGAGTTTCTGATTCAGCAGATACTGAAAGGGGCTTAAAAATTTCCTTTTCTAATAGGTTCCCAGTTAATGCTGGTCCTAGAGATGCAGCTTGGGAAACTAAAGCAGTTATTAAAAAGAAAGAGATAAATACAGAGGCAAAACTAATATTGGAGTGAAAAAAATTAAACCACTAATAATAATCAATCTACAGTAATGTAGAAAAAGGGGTAAAAAAACCCACAAAGGCAGAATAAATGTGACAAATACAATGTAATAGTAAACTTTTATGTTTATATTTAACCATATTTGTGTTAAATTAAATATAAACAGGCTAAAACACTACAAATAAAAATCTTCAACTACATGAAGCAAAAACTGATAGAAGTGCAAAGTTAGGTAAGTCCAAATTATAGTTGATAACTTTAAGATCTCTTTCTCAGTAGATGATAAAAAAAAAAAGTAAACAGAAAATCAGAAGAAAGTGTGAACACCATTGGTCCTAACTGATATGTATAGAACATTCTATACAATGAAGAAACAAAAATCTTTTCAAGTATAGAACATTCACCAAGGTTTTTGCTATAGGGCATGTGCACTTGCCAGAAGACAGAGAGAGACAGAGAGATACAAAGTGAGAAATCACCCCTCATGCCCCCTCCCCCCCAGGGGAGATGACCATGCCACAATCCCTTCTCCATTCTCCTCTTGGGATCTTGGGCACGCACGCACATGCTCCCGGCATGAGTTTAAGCCACCGGGTCCAGGACATAGCCTGGAACTGCGGTCAACTACATGGGAGTCCAGTGACATAGCCTTTATGCCAACTGCTGGTCCCAATCACATTCTAAACAACAGGAAAGTTTACAGTAAGTCTTCAGGGACTCAAATTAAAAGGAGTATGTTTATAGATCAAATCTCAAACTAGAAACTGAGGAAAAACTGGTATCCGTGCCTGCTTCATGGTGCTGCAGTAAAGTGCTCCTCAAGAGAAGTCAAATCCAGCGTGGCAACTGCGGTTCAAATCCCCAGCCCGATCAGCCTGAAACATGCCGAAACAGGTGCAAGAGAGTAAACTCTTAGATTTAAATTTACAGGTTGGATGACTAAAGAAAGAGGATCACAATGTGACTAGACCCCGAGGAGAGGGCTCTTCTCTCTCTCTCGCACACACCTAATATGTGCACATATGCTCTTTCATAATGAAAGGAGGAAAAAATCAGGAAATCTTTATATCTTTGGAAGTTAAGTAACATTTCTAAATAACCCATGAGTTGAAGAAATAGCATGGAAAATTAAAGGTATTTTGTACTGGATGAAACTGAAAACAATACCATAAAAAATTATAAGATATTAGGAACAGCAGTTGGCATAATGGCTATGTCGCTGGACTCCCATGTAGTCAACTACGGTTCAAGTTCCAGACCCAGTGGCTTAAACT